ATTCCATTGTTTTCTTGTGTGTCTATTTGACTATTACACGTTGACTAGTATTTTTTGTTTCACGAGTTAAATGCCTTCACTCTACTGTTTGCACTCTAGGCCATAGACCTACAAGACTTTCCACTAATTTGTACAATTTTATTAGTTAACATTTTCACAGATTTATGGTATGCACAATATTTGTAATTGTTTTGTTTATTATGAAGCTAGTTCTTTTTTGCTATTGTTTTCTTCCAAAACTCAAATGGTTGTAAATTGTGTTGCTCACAAATAAAAAACGTTTTTACTAGTAAAAAAGAAGGAAAAAATCATGTTTTGCTCAAGTGATATTTACTGTTTAATACTAAATAGCTGCAGTGGCCCTCCTCAAAAATAGTGGTTTTCAATAACCTCTTTAATTATACAGCTTCTCATTAATCCAATATAGGTATCTGTCCAATTATTTTCTTAATTGGACAGGTCTGGTTGATATGGGATTAAATAGGCAGCTATATAATTAATAGGTAATGGGATTTCATGCTCCCCAATCAAGAAATAATTAGACTTGAAAAATTCCTCTGACTGCCAAATTGGACTCGGCGTACAGCATCATCCAATTTTGAAAGTCCTCGGAATTTTTCTCGTCCAATTATTTCTTAATTGGACAGCATGGAGTCCTATTACATATACAAATGCACTTGAGCTTATTAAGGACTACCTAACAGTAATTCTTTTGTTTTCTATTGTCTTTGTGACTAGAACACTCTAATTAACACACTGTTTCGCTGGTTAATGAAAACCATTCTATCATGGAAGTGAAGCTAAGTACATGGAAATACTAAAAAAAAAGCCACAAATTCCATTCACGAAAAAGTTTGATTTCTTTCGTATTGCCATGTAAGCCTCGCATCCACGATATTTCTGATAAGGGTCCATTAACGATACATCTTCGTCTTCTTCAAATATATGGTACACCTCTCAAACTCATTAATAATTCATGAGGTCAATGACCAATGACGACTTTGCATTGTAGTCACATGCACGCACCTTGATACTTGATCAAGAACGGATCAAAACACTGTTMATTTTTTTAGTCTCAGTAGATTCAAGAACAAATGAATTATGACGAGACTGAGAAGTAAGTTCAAAAACTCATGCTTTGTGTTTGATCAGGGCATCCAAACACCTCGAAGAATAAAAGCACTTAGCCTACAGCCTTGTGCTTTCACCTGTTTCTCGGCGTTTGGATGCCCTGATCAAACRCTTGCGCTCGTTTTTGATCTATTACATCATAATTGACTCATAATGAATAGCCTTTTGCATATTATTTTGGTATAGAGGTTTTGCACCATCACGTGACGGCAGCCATGTTAGATGGCAGGAACAATACAATCGTTTTACATAAGAAAGAATTCAATTCCTGAGAGCAAAGGGATTTTATTGTTCTGCCATCTAACCACAGGCAGTCCAAGCTGGATTATTGCACCGGCAGGTGATGATGTCCGTTTACCCCTTCCATGATAGCTTAGGAACTTAGATAATTATTGTCATGGATAAAGTTATGTAAATAATGAAAAGATTTTTGGTTGAGCAAGGCGAATGAAAAGAGATCGGGCTCAGCTCTTTAGATCACTGAAGACTTTCATTTAACAAGGGTTGGCCCCCAGATCTTCTATGTCGGACTGTGATTGTGTATTCTCTTTAGACTGATGCTGGAAGCGGGTAATCACAGATGTTATCCTGACTGGATGAGTTTAAACAAATCCAATATCATCATTAGCTTCCTTGTCTTCATCCTTCTCAGTCAAGTATCTAATGCTCTTGGGCTCTGCGGAGTAATCTAAAACAGATTACAATTAGATTTCAWGCTAATTCCAAACACTATATTGACAAATGTTCAGTGGTGTCTGTGGTACTAGTATGGCCAACAGCATACACCATTCTCATAATGGCTGTAAAGGGCACGAAAACAAGGTCACCCAGTCATTAGTTCACAATACAAGATATAAAAGTACATTAAATGAGTTTATAAGAGAAAAGTATAGAAATTTAACTCTTGTTTTGACCTGTATTCGCGCTATCCACCGTTATTCTGAATGAGCAGCCTTGCTCAGCCTTGCAAGATGACTAGGTGACCTCGTTTTTGTGCGCTTGTCAGCCATTATGAGAAGGGTGTATACCATTAACCTAACCTTATCCTACTCCTCCTTACTGATTAAGTCCCTGACACTGTTTAAAGGGAGGTGAATAGTACCTACCCCCTTAACCACCTGGATCTTCACCTTGCTATAAACACTCTATCAACACCTCCATACCAACTAAAGACAAGTACAGACAGTGCAATATTGCACGCAACAAATTTGAATTGGGGTCACACACGTTGCAACGAAATCCTGCAACACAGCTTGTGTCAGCCTGATATGCTGAGAAATTTGGTCAGCGGTAATGAATTTAGTGCAAGCTGATTGGCTAGAAATTTCAAAATGTTGCACACAATGTTGCAGCCCTGTTCACACGAAATTTGTGCACGCAATGTTGCAAGAGAAGAGCGTGATTCAACTTCAAATTTGTTGCATGCAATGTTGCATGCAACATGTTTCAGGGGTAGACACACACTGCAACAGTCCTGTTGTGTGCAATGTTGCACCGTGTGTCCGCACATTACCAACTGCTGATACTAGAGTGATTTTTCTTTAACCGTGAAAGAATAGTCAACATGATACACTAATAACATTGTTTTCTTTTGGTAGTCACTTATTATAACTTCACAGGCCAAACAAAACATTTCCAGGGTTGCACTTTTTACAATGATTATACTCTTTCTGAAGATGGTGCTTGTTTTTACTGCCCCTTTATGTGACCTTTAGCGCAAGCACAAGCATGGGAGAACCTACGTAGCAAGCAGCTGATATAATGTGTTTATAAAAATATAAAAATAAAAATGAAAAATAAATATTAAATAAAAATACAATGAATCACACCTAATACAATAGATGGAACGACAATAGAATACAATAGGATTTCTGAATACATTACATCAACTGAGTGCTATGTAGGTTCTCCTGCACCATTGCATGATTGCAGTCATGTTAGATGGCAGGAACAATACAATCACTTTACATGAGAAAGTCAACTCCCAAGAGTAAAGGGATTTTATTGTTTTGCCATCTAACCACAGCCAGCCCAAGCTGTATTATGGGCGTGGGCATGGTTCTCACCTTTTTCTGGTGGAATTCCACAGAGCACTTTATAATGAGTCTTATCCATTCTACTGGCTAGCATTCTTGTTGAGGTCTTGGCTTTCCATCCACAGAAATGAAATCCACAGTTCAAAGTATCAGAAGGGGAACTAGAAATAACATTTACATTTTAGTACATAATAGAGGCTTTGCACCATCACGTGATGGCAGCCATGACAGGAGGCAGGAATATTATTGAATCTGGTCTAGTCTGATTTACATGAGAAAGAATTCTGTTTCCCAGGGAGGAATGCTCTATTGTTGTGCCTTCTGTCATGCCGGCCATCATGTGACGGTGCAAAGCCTCTATTATAAGATTAGAAATCTTGAAGCATTGAAGTCAGTTACCCTTACAAGGCCCTATTAGGGGGGGAAGGGTAGGGGGGTACACATGTCCTCCATCTGAATTTTTTAATGATGATGATAATAATAATAATAGTAATAATTTTTTTTCAAAAATAAATATATCCTACAATAAAAATATATCTATTGATAATAATAATATTGATAATAATTTAAAACTTTATTTCAAATACTAAAAGAATAATTACTAGATAAATTTCAAGACCAAAATGAG